TCTCCAAAGTGATCAAAAAATACATTGTTTTTGCGAATATGTATCTTGAGTTTAAAATCAGTAATATATATTTTTAATAATTTTTTAAGTTGCTTTTGACCTGTATGTGACGTAATGGACTCGCAGCAAGAGGCTTCAGACCAATTTACTCAAACAATTAATTGACCAAATAAATACATTCTTTCATTCAAATAAAAATCTCGGGAAAAAACCTGTTACTTTTAGGAAACCCCTACACCGAACTATATTATTGTATTACTTATTGTCCTTTTACAAAGCGTCCAAAAAATATGTTTTCTAATCATCAACAATAGATTATTTTCATGATTTCATTTTCAATAAAACACACAGTTGTGTTAAATATGAGCGTTTTAATTTAAGAGGAGCGTGTTTGCCGACTCACATTAACAACCTGCTGCTCTGTACACTTCACAGTTTCCATAAAAATACATCTTTTTATACACCTTTTTACACTATACAGAGAGTCACTGCAGAACATCTGTTGTAACCATGGCAACTGCGCAGCGTCCACAGAAGAAGAATCATGATGTTTATGAGAAAGTCATTTAGAGTTTGTGACCGCGCCGGTGTCTCCTGCCGCTCGGGGCCTCCTGCCGCTCGGGGCCTCCTGCCGCTCGGGGCCTCTTGCCGCTTGGGGCCTCTTGCCGCTCGGGGCCTCTTGCCGCTCGGGGCCTCTTGCCGCTCGGGGCCTCCTCTTTCCCAGACTCAGGAGCGCCTCAGCGGCTGCCCGTCCTCCAGGCCACAAACCGGAGTTCGGTTTAGGCTTTTTTGGCGTTAGGCGAAAGGAATATAAATGCTTTTTCTTCGTCCCTTAGCCGCCGATCCGAGGTATCGACAAAATCTTCACGTCGTCAATGTCCATTCCACTGTATATCATCGTAGCCCACCTGCCAAAGACACGAAAAGCATCAGAAATTTATTTTCATTTTTTGTCAGTTATTTTTTCAAAATTTATTTTTCTCATTTTTCTACATTTATTATTATTTTGGTTACTTTTTCTCCATTTGTTTTTATCATTTCTTCTGCATTTATTATTTTTTCTACATTTATTATTTTTCTCCATTTGTTATTTTTTTTGTTAATTTTTATTGTCCTTTTTTGTTAATTTTTCTACATTTACACTTTTTTCTACGCATGTCATTTTTCCTCCATTTGTTATTTTTTTGTTATTTTTTCTACATTTTTCATAATTTCTACATTCGTCATTATTTTCTCTATAATTTCCGTTACACACCTCTTCGTCTTCGTCATCTTCTTCCACTTCGCTCTCGTCATCCTCGCTGTCCGGTAGATCTCGGAGCCCAGGTCTGGTCAGCGGGAACAGCTCTTGCCTGATTGGCTCGTTGTCGCGGCCGTACGTGAGGTGGAATGGCGTGTGGCCGGCAGACGTGAGGAGATTGGGGTCGGCGCCTTTTCGAAGCAGCATCTGCACCAGCGACAGATTCTGATGGTCTACGGCGAGATGCAGAGCCCCTCGGCCGCTTCTCTGCTCCTGAAAGAGAGAGAATGCTTAAAGATCAACAACAAAAGTCTCTAAAAAGGGTGTTGCCTGGAGGGGCTTAGAGTGGGCGTGGTCTGGGCTGTGATTGACAGCTCGCTTGTATCACACACACACAAAAAAAACAGCTGCTGCTTAAAACAATAGTTTACACACCAGAAAGTCTCATTCCCTTGTTTACGCACTAAAATTATTGTAGCTACACAACTGAATCTAAGACTGATCTCAGCAGTAGTGGCGGTCCACTGATGTAATTACATTTAATTCACTAGATTAGGGCTGCACAATATTGGAAATCAGAGCGATATTCGATATGAGTGTTTAGTATTTCAATAACAATATTATCGCGATATTTTCGTCTTTCACCTAAAATTGCATCTGCATTGAAACGCAAGAGACAAATTACAAATAAATAAGATTAATGATTTTCAAATGCATATATTTATATACTTTGTTTGTTTGTTTGTTGTTCTTGTTGAATGTTAATGTGTCTGTCTGTTTTGTTGTCTTTAATAAAGGAAAAAAATATATATACATTTTTTTAAATTATTGCGCATCTTTTGCGATATGGATATCGCACGCACCAATATCGCGATAACGATATTTTTTTGATATATCATGCAGCTCTAGATGTCGCCAGAATCCTTCAACTCACTACAGAGGGGAGTGTGTGAGACTTGTTACTTGTCCACCACAAATAACCACATGGTACTTTACCAGTGAGATTAGCTTGACGCAGTGAGTTCTGGCGCCCGGATCAGACTTTCTGATTGGTGAAACGTGGAGGGCGGGACATCGAAATGAAACCAATAACAAGATTTAGGGGCTGTAAAACTAATTTTGAAACTCAAATATCTCTGAACTACTGTTATTGGAAATGCCTTTTATTAAAGCCTTTTGACAGATTAGGGCCCTTTAACTCATTGACTGCCACCCGTTTTGGACGATTTCACTGATTTTCAAGACCCACAGAGTATTATGTGCTACTACTAGGTGAAATATGATTCTGAAATACTGGACTGCCTACTTTCATCAGCAAAATTAAGTCTGTTTCTAGCTAGCTTTGTTATTCTGTAATCCCCAGTCGAATAGAGGGAAGTGTGACAGAAATCATCCGTCTCAGACAAATACGTCGTCAACAGTCAATGAGTGAATGAAGGCTGCTGTGTGTTTGTGTAGAGCTTGTGCGTTCGGCTTTGAGATCATGCTGCAAATGAAGTGTCTTTTGGGATCAATAAAGTTTTCTGAATCTGAATATGATTTTTGGTGAACTCTATGAGGCTATATCCACACGAAGACAAAACGCTTATAATTTCATAAACTTTTTCTGTAAACACGGAGTTAGCTCAGTAAATGTGTGCGTCCATATGAATGTAGTCAATACGCCTGAAAACGCTGTGAAACTATGCCAGACCTGTTGGTGGCGCTGTGACGCAATGACGGGATCAAGCCCAAACTTCCGTGACGGGAACTGGGCATGCGCAGAATTTTGTAAACAGACAACATGGCGAGTGGGCGAGCTGGTACTACATTAGTATGGACGGACGATGAGGTTGAACTGTTGCTTCGGGTCACACTGGATTACAAAACCAACAAGCTACATTGTTGTTGTCATTATTTTCTGAGTGCGGTGCATGCGTGCTTTAACAAGAGGCGGGGCGATGACGCAAGTGTCTCAGATACATTGCGGAGAGGCAGTAACCACGGAGCGGCATATACGGAGTGTTGAAATCTTTCCACTCTGGGACCTACTTTCAAAAATGTTCGTTTACACCCCCCCAAAACGCCGGCCTCGTATGGACGATACACTGGATTGATAAAGTATTTTTGCGTTTAGGCCTGAGCTTGACTTCGTGTGGACAGGGCCTGAGTCTGTCTGAGCGTTTACCTTGGCATCAATGTCTGCTCCTAAATCCACAAGGTTTTCCACGAGCGAAAGAAAGCCTTGAACCGAAGCCAAGTGGAGACAGTTTTGACCTGTAAAAAAAGTGAAACGTTACTTCAGCGGGATGACAAACTATTTCCAAGTTTTATTAGGTCTGGATGATTGAAGGTTTGTGGGTTTTGGGGATGATTATGTTGAGATTTTGTACTTTTTATTTGTGGAATAACTTTAAATTCCAGGAAAAAGTGGTACCACACAAGGAGTATGATCATAAGGCAACAATGTCATGTAATATTTTTAATATGCATAGGAATAGTCCAGTGTCATGAAAATATGTAGTTAATCACGTGTTTTAAAACCCCATTTGATACAAGACAAAAATACAAATGGCATTATTAAAAAAGTCTGGAACGATAAAACAAACAGCTGGAAATACTGGTTGTCAAAAGTATAAAAAATCTGACACTAATCCCTTTTTATTATGGGTTCGGGTTAGTCAGAGATTTTAAACTTAATTCTTGCGACTGTATTAGGCTAAAGGGTAGAAAAAGATGGGTATAGATCGATTCATTATCAAGCTAGTTATTTTATCTTATTTTGATTCCTTATTGTGCTAAAGTTGGAGATTTTATACTTAATTCTGTGTTATGCTAAAGTTATAAATATTATACTTTTATTCTACAATATCACTTTACTTTCTCTACTTATTACTTATTATTATCCTGCCCTATATGTACAGTATATAACTCTGCACTATGTATATATTGAACAGGTTTTGTTTTGTTTTAAATGACAAAAACAGAGCACAATTGTACATTTCTTGAGTATTTTTTGAACAATATTTAACCTGCAGCTGCCTCTAATAACAAACTTTTCTACTCCAACTAGTTTTTTGTTTTGTTGTCAGACCACGGTTGATTAGCTTTGATACCAGCAGCTCAATGTACCTTCTGCTATAGATGCTAAAATCCCTGCGGTACTAAACTTTGTAAATGAAGCCATCTAAATGTGCTATATAATTAAATAAATACATCTTAAAGGGTCCCTAATGGTCCGTGGACTCTTACCGTGGTAGTTGTAGGCGGCCATCGCGGCGCTGAGGCGGTTGGGGAGGCAGTTCTGAGTGATGACGCTGAAGCAGGGCAGGTTTCCGTGACGACAGGCGATGTGAAGGGGCGTGTCTCCGTTGCAGTCCACGAGCGTGGGGTCGCAGCCCGCCACCAGGAGACGCTCGCACACGCTGGCCTGGTTCGTGATCACAGCCAAGTGGAGAGGAGTCTGGAAGAGGGAGAGGAGCAACGTGAGCGGGACCAGACCGAGACCAGACCGAGATCAGACCGAGACCAGACCGAGATCAGACCGAGATCAGACCGAGACCAGACCGAGACA